AGGGGTCAGGCTATTCCAGACACTGCAACACTGTGGTACTCCTACAAACAAAATAACAAGCAGAATGATGTATTCTTTAATTAAACCCTGGACTGGGTCTTCCACTGGGATGGTTGTTTGTAACTTCATATACTTCAAAGGCACTAGACTGATTTACAGTGCCTGAGCAATTGGTCTTTTATTAAGGTATGCTTCTGTATATTGAAGTTATGTGCCTTACTTTTCATAACCATAACCATAACATTGGTGAGAGTGAAGTTATTCTAAACACCATGAACAGGACAGCCAGGTTAAGTAGAGGAAAGGTGTATAGTATGGAGATGATGTTTTCCCCTTCCACACTCCCCTTTTTTTTTTAATCATGGTGCAGTGTGATTTTTATTAAACATGGCTTCAGAGCGGGATAGAGTTGCTTGTGCTGAATTTTTTGATTGTTGTACCCTGAGAGCTTAATATAGTATGCTGTAGCCAGAACAGACATTGGGCATCTGTAAGATTTATCTCTTGTGCATTGTGGAACACCGTATTATACCATGTTGTAGTTGCTTGCATGTCTGCATGCTTGCCAGCTTCAAAATTAAAGGTGTTGTGCACACCTCATTTGCAGCACCCCAGATGCAGGCACTTCCCTCTGTCTATTTGGTTTTGTTGTGGTTTTAATTTTCATTAAAAATACATATTTATTTTCTCCTTTTTTCTCACTCATTTGCAGCACCAGCATGTCCCTGTGTATTGCACGAACATAAAGAGTTCATATTGGCCCCTGAAGCAGAGCAGGTGTAAAACATGCCTTTGAGAGGCAAGCTGTCCCAAAGACATTAGGTCTCTCTCCTCTTCCAGAGAAACAGTGATAGCCTAAGTCTGTGTCTAAGAGCATGTGGACACCGAGAAAAGAAGTAGTATGCTTGCCCCTGCTGTTCATGTCGGGTGTGGCAAAAGAGTTTTCAGAGTTTTTGCCACCAAGGTCCAGCATCTGCTTAGTTTAGTCTGGACTACTCTATTCCAAGCACCCAGAAACAGATCTTAATAATACACTGTGCAAAATACTTCTTAGAATCGTAGAATGGCGTGGGTTGAAAAGGACTGTAAAGATCTTGTAGTTCCAGCCCCCCTTTCTCTAGGCCAGGTTGCTCAAACCTCTGTCCAACCTGGTCTTGAACACTTCCAGGGATGGGGCATCTAGGCAATCTACAACTTCTCTGGACATTCTGTTCCAGTGTCTCACCACCCTCACAGTAAAGAATTTCTTCCTACTATCTGATCTAAACCTACTCTCGGTTTGAAGCCATTCCCCCTTGTCCTGTCATGCTCTTTACATGCTTTTGTAAAGTCTCCCTCCATCTTTCTTGTAGGCTCCCATCGGTTACTGAAAGGCCACAGTTAGGTCACCCTGAAACCTTCTCTTCTCCAGGCTGAACAATCCTAAATGGCCATAGTCATCTTAGTGTTTCAATACATTGATTTTAGTGGTGTTACTTTAACAAATCTAATATTACAGTAACATATTCTTTTCATGATTGATTTAAACAGGCTTAGAGAAACAATGCAAGTTTGTATTTTGTTCTGGTTTAGGCCATGTTTGGGTAGAAAAGACAAATAATCTCTGCCCAAGCTGGTCCCATCTTAACAATCCCATGCAGTTTGCTTGTTTAAGAACAGGCCTTACTTTAAGAAATATTATTTACTCAGAGAGGGCAACCCAAAAGATAAACTTGCAATCTGATGCCATAATATCTACTATTGGCAGAAATACAATTCTTTGAATAATGAATGAGCTCTTAACATCTGTCAGGTTGTTTGTTTTCTCAGGGGCCTGGTGATGGGGTTGTGTGCAATAACATGATGGCCTTCTGAGGAGCCTAGCTAAAATGGCCATTAGGTTTCATCAGCTTGCAGGAACAACTAAGTAATTGGGCACACTTGGGACTATCCTAAAGGGCTCCCTTGTGGTTAGCAAATGCTTTCTAGCTAGTTCCAGTAAAGTGTGGAGCATTGAAACCTGAGTATTGTAGACTGCATTGGGGAACTTAGTTTGACAGACTTTTTGGAGAGACTGTGGGAGATGTTTGAGCATAGGTATCACCAGTACAAGTTAGCATCAGAAATGGATGGGGAATCAACTTTTAGAAACAGAGATATAAATCTTTACTATTTATATATTGAATACCTTATAGGGGATTACCTTGGCAACCTGCCAGCTACACAGGAAGGTGTAAAGGGATGCAAAATTAACTAACTCCCCTTTTGGATGCAACCTGCATTTAAAGCCTAAATATTAGGACGTGATGCTATGGTGGTAAACCAATATTGCCTCAACCTTCAGTAGCATACCCTTTAGAAAGTTACCTTTATTTTTTCCTGTATTCTGAAGCTCTCTATTAGATGCTTACATTGAGAAAATAACCCTTAATGGCTTACAACAGAAATAGAAATGTTTTCAGATGATGCAGTTTAAGCTCTATTTTCCTTTTCTTCAATAAATTTTCATTTCAAATTTTGGTGACATAAATGACCAATTATGTTTTGAAGAATGTGCTTCAAATGTTTCTGCTCTGGCTGAGTTCATAAATTATTTGGCAGTCTCAAAAAATGTCTTTGCCTTCCCCAAGGAGCTGTATAATAACAACCTCTTACTCTCTTTCCAAGCCAGTAGTATTCCAGAGTGAATCTTCCACCTGCTTCGGAGCATACTGGAATTAACAGCAAGACTGTGAGTTGCAATTATGTTAGGCATTAATGCATAGCTTATGTACATTCCAGTACAAAATTTCTTTGTACCAAGACAAAATGCAAAATACATCTTAAGGAGTAAATACACTTCCTAGTAAATTGCTTGCATAAAGGGAAGGTCGCCAACTGTTCTTGCAGTCTTCTTCCTAGTCTGGTCTACAAGCACTGCTGGCACAATGCAGCAGTAACATCTTTTTGCTGTCTCTCCTCTTGTAGAAATCTCTGACCAAAATATCCCTTTGCATTGAGTTCCAAATCATCATGCCACCCTACTGCTGATTGCTTCTGTTTAGTCACTTTACTGTGCAAAGGCTAATTCTGCCTTCATCATGACCAGTGTAGGCTTTCACATCACAGAATCATGGAATATGCTGAGTTGGAAGGGACCCACAGGGATCATCAAGTCCAATCCTTAGCCCTGCCCAGGATCATCTCCAAGAGTCACACCATGCACCCACGAGTATCACCCAAATGCTTCTTGAACTCTGTCAGGCTTGGTGCTGTGACCACTTCCCTGGGGAGCCTCTTCCAGTGCCCAACCACCCTCTGGGTAAAGAACCTCTTTCTAATATCCAACGTAAACCTCCCCTGATACAACTTCAGGCCATTCCCTCAGGTCCTGTCAGTGGTCACCACAGGGAAGAGATCAGTGTCTGCCCCTCCTCTTCCCCTCATGAGGAAGTTGTAGACTGCAGTGAGGTCTTCCCTCAGTCTCTTCTTCTTCAGACTGAACAGACCAAGTGACCTCAGCCACTCCTCATACGCCTTCCCCTCAAGGCCCTTCACCATTTTCACTGCCCTCCTTTGGACACTCTCTAATAGCTTCATGTCTTTCTTATATTGTGGTGACCAAACATCCTCTGAGTCAAACAGAAGTTTGAGAGGGCTACATGGCCTTTGAGAAAGGTAAGAAGCTGAAGAGAGCTGAATTCAGAATGAATGCACTTCTTAGCAGACGCTGAGAACAAGTTTACCTGTTGCTGTGTTTTCTTGAAGTGATTATACACAAAGGAATGCCAGTATTGTTTTTGTTTTGTTGTTCCTTTTCTCCTAAGAGAGCTATTCTAGCTCCATAATTTGTGTGCTTGGTGCAGAATTTGCTGTATGAGGTTCTTTGGGTTATATGGGAAGTCAGATTTGATTATTTTAATAATTTTTAGCCAGTTTGGAATATCCAGTGGGTTGAGCACCTCTTGCTTTTTCCAGTGTATACAAGAGAAAGATCTGGAAAGCAATCTTGTCAGTACTAAATGAATTTGTGTGACTTAAAGCACTGGAGTTCAGACCATTTCCCATAAATTAAATGAGAAGTATTGGTTAATTTAGCACAGGGTGTGATAAAACTGCAACATATCATGTCATTAGACTGCTTTACACAGTGACTGGAACATTGCCAGTTTAAATAAACTTTGTACGTCTATTTGAAAGTGTGTCTCTGTGCATGCTGGCTATTTAGTCCTTTAAACTTTTATGGTATTTTTTTTAGAAGTGTAGCCAACTTGTTAACTCATGTACTATAACTTCTGAATGTTTGTTTGGGTTTAACACCTTATTTTGATTTGATAAAGAATTAAAAAAATCTTAATGATTTGGTTATTCTTTTATTTTTTTTAAACTTTCTGTTCTGACATTAGTGTTGATCTCAATGCAGTGTCTGTTCAAAAGAGCACAGGGAATAATGCTTGGGAATTAAGTAGCCTATGTCTTGTTCTGACAGCTGAAATTCTGCAGTTCACCTCACTTTTGAGTCATTGCCGTAAAATGAGCAGAGTGTTCAGCAACCTTTATAAATTACCGATGGATTTGGATGTAAAGACCTGTACAAGAGCTAAAGTACTTATTATGATAGCAGAGAGATCCAGAGGTGGCATTTACTGTTAAAAAGAGAAGATAGTTTAATTGCCTGCACCACGGTTATAAGCAGTAAGGAGTAAGAGAGCAAAAACAGTGTTTGGGAGTATTTCTTGGGGTCTCTAGGACAACAGCTGAGAAGTCACCAAAGATGTCCATACAATTCTGACCTCTCAGTGAAAAATACATGTTATGCCATGGTGCACTGTGGTGTGCTGTGCTGTGGTTGTTATTCATCATGTACATAAACCTGCAGCAGTAATTATGTATGCTCTGTAGAAGGTGAAGCTACCCTAGAATAAAATGCATGTTTTGAAGACAGGAAGTTTTTTCTGCAGATATACTGTCCCACTTGGTGATGATGGTCAGGGCAAACATTTTATGACTGAGTAATTTCTAATTCTCTTTTGTTCTTGCAGGTCAAGCCAGTTACTCACAGTAGAATCACTGTGTCAGCACGGTTTCGAAAGCCACTCCAGGAGCCCTACACTATTTTGTAAGTAGCATTTTCAGTTAGTGAACTGCCGTTTCAGAGGTGGTGGTGGTGTGTTCGTTTCAGGTGAGTTTTGTTTAAAATGCTCCTCCAATTTATTTTACTTTGCTTTGTTTCAGCCTGGTTGCTAATGGAGACCTTATTAGCCCTGCAGTGCGCCTCCTCATTCCCAGGAAAACACTGAATCACTGGGATCATATTCTTGAAATGGTTACAGGAAAAGTTACCCTCAGAAGTGGAGCTGTTCACAGGTATCAGGAAGCTGAATATTTGCAAATCAAATTACATTTAATACACCTAGATATGTTTTTAAGACTCCATAGGTAGATATAATGGATTATTCCTACTTCATGGGAAATTCCACTATAAGAAAATTAAAATACATCAAAAAGCCACAAGGTGGAAATAGATTAACTCCAAGTAACCTTGAGGTTTCATTTCAACTGCTATTTGAAAAAAGAATAACCTGAATTTGTTTCAACTGTTATTTCCTATTAATATTTATTAATTAAACATTTAGTTAGCAGACCTGTAATAATACAATAATAATGCAATATATTTAGTACTAATAATTAAGCTACATATTATAATAAAATAAATGAGCATGGTAAAGTTGGTGAAGATGTTTGGAATGCAAGATACATGCACTCTGTGTTACCTTTTAATTTTGATAGTTCTTTAAATTAATTGATTAAACAATTTCAAGAAAAATATTATGGATTCCTTGGGTTTTGTGTACCTGGGCTAAGACTAGGATGTGCTTTATACTCAGTCTGCTCAGCCCCCTAAAAAAAACCAAGGCTAAAGTTGTAGTTGGGAGTTTGCCAGTTCCAGTATCTCATCTGTTCTGAGTTGTTGTGGTACCTCAGGAATAGGAGGTGACCTGTTGGATAGATAAGTCCCTTAAGGCGTTTACAATGTAAAATAAGTTATCTAAAATGGTATTAGGTGATTGTTACAAGCTTTAGAGCAAAATGATATATGTGATGTCCACGAGAAACATTGCAGTGTAAGTGGGCTGCCAAAGTGTATACAAGCAAATTGCTGACATTCCAATGCTACCCCATGCAGAGCACATTACAGAAATCTGTTCCTCAGGTGGGAAAGGGTCTTTTGTGGAAAATCATTCTTCAAAGCTTATGCAATGTCTGAGGCTAAGTTTGCAAAAGCTTTCTCAAATCAGTGAAGATAAGGTAGTCTTTCAGTTCTTCTGATTGCTTTCCCAGAGCTGATACAGGTGAGAAAAGATAAAGGTAATGCTATCAGTGGACTATTAGCTCTTATCTAGTTCTTTCTCTTAGCCCTGCTTTTTTTTTCTCCAATTAGCACTTTTACTTGCAGTATAGTAAACCTACACCTGTTGCAGCTTTCTGGGTCTGATTCTCAGCTGGTGTAACTCAGAAGTGAACAAAGCAACAACAGCCCTTTACATGATATCAATTCTTTCTGCACTCAGGTTGTTTACAATTTAAAAATCTTTCATTTTATTATTGTTCGTTGGTGTCACTCTTTGGTGAAACTCATGTACATAAAAGCATTCAGTATATAACTAGGATTTCTTTTGAGAAGTTCCCTTCAGTGCTCAGTTTTAACCCTTTAAAAATAAGATAATCTACATGACATTTTGAATTATGTAATGTTTTCCCTTTGCTGGTTTTCTATTAACTCAGTTTTCATTTTCTTTTCCTTAAAATACTAGAAATACGTATTAAATACGTTAGTTAAGTGATCGCTGTTCTCTAATAAGTTACACATTAGTTGTTGAGGCTTACTGAAACTATGTTAGTGTTAGGGGAGGTCTGGTCTGGTAAGACCACTGATGCTGGGAAGATATGATTTCTCTTTAAAGAAGGATAAGTGGACTTATGAGAACCTGCATTATGTATATGGAAATTTTTCTTTTCCATGTTATTTAAAGGTTTGCAAAGCTGCCAAGTCTTAGGCAGTTTCACATGTGGCTTTTTTAAAAAAAAATTATTGATCACCCCCATCTGAATAGGGATGTAAGGAAGAACTATGAGAGAGAAGACAATGAGAAAGCAGCTTTTCTGCTTGCCAGATCATGCATGGGGATGAGGTACAGCAACCTGATGGGCAGGCCTAAGATGGTGTTTTGAGCAGTGGCCTGGTTTACAGGATATGTTTCCAGCCAGCCCGTTGTTGCTTCCACCGTGGTAAGTATGTAGCTCTTGCCTTGGCATGTTCGTGGCACTGGTCCAATGTAATCAGTTTGCCAGGCCTCACCATATTGGGAACCCAGCCACCACCCTCTATTCCAGGGAGATTCTACTCGCATGGCTCGCTTAACTGCCACACACATTTCACATTCATGAATAACCTGTGTGATGGTCAGATCCACCCCGTGATCATGAGCCCATCTGTATGTTGCGTCTCTTCCTAGATGTCCTGATGTTTCATGGGCCCATTGGGCTTTAAATAGCTTGCCCCTCTGCTCCCAGTCCAAGTCTGCCTGGGCTATTCCAATCTTGGCAGCCTTATCCACCTACTTATTGTTCTGGTGTTCTTCAGTCACACAAGTTTTGGGCATGTGAACATCAACATGACGCACCTTCAGCATCATGTGTTCCACTCATGTAGCGATATCCTGCCACGATGCAGCAGCCCAGATGGGTTTACCCCTGTGTTGCCAACTGGCCTTTTTCCATTTGCTCTAGCCACCCCCATAGGGCATTAGCCACCATCCAGGAGTCAGTATGGAGGTATAGTAGAGGCCACTTTTCTCATTCGGCTGTCTCTAGGGCTAGTTGGATGGCTTTCACTTCTGCAAACTGGCTTGACTCGCCCTCTCCTTCAGCTACTTCAATGACCCATCGTGTGGGACTCCACACAGCACCTTTCCACCTCCGATGGTTTCCTACCACATGGCAAGATCCATCAGTAAGTAGGGCATTGCCTCTTTTATTTTGTGGTAACTCATTATATGATGTTGCTTCTTGGGTATGAGTCACCTCTTCAGGCAATGCTCCAAAATCTCTGCCTTCTGGCCAGTACATAATCTCCTCCAGGATTCCTGGGAAATTAGGTTTTCCCATTTGGGCTCACTGTGTGATCAAAACTACCCACTTACTCCATGTAGCACTGATTACATGATGTGTTGAGGGGATGTTCTCTTTGAACATCCAGTGCTGCTCGGGCAAACGCGGTGCCAACAAGAGACACTTTTCTGTCACAACAACTTCTGAGATGACTCGAAGCCCCTCATAGGCTGCTAATATCTCCTTTTCAGTTGGTGTGTAGTGGGCTTCTGATCCTTGATAACCCCAGCTCCAAAACCCTAATGATCGACCTCAGGTTTCTGCTGGTGTTCTCTGCCAGTGGCTCCAGGTGAGACTATGCTCCCCAGCTGCCGTGTAGAGGATATTTCGCACAACTGGTCCTGTTCAAACAGGCCCCAGAGCTACTGCACGGGCTATCTCCTGTTTGATCTGCTCAAAGGCCTGTTGTTGCTCAAGGCCCCACTGAAAATGGTTCTTCTTCCAGGTTACTCGACAGAGGGGGCTCACAAGCTGAATATAACCTGGCACGTGCATTTGCCAGAAACCCACAAGGCCTAGGAAAGCTTGTGTTTCCTTCTTGTTAGCTGGTGGAGACATAGATGCTGTTTTGTTCACTACATCCATGGGCACATGACAGCGTCCATTTTATTCCCAAGAACTGGATCTCCTGTTCAGGTCCCTTTACCAGCTTTGAGAAGAACTTGGATTATTTTCCTCCCTTTCTCCAAAACTTCTGCTGTCTTGCCTGCCCCACACAATGATATCATCAATATATTTCAGGTGCTCTGGAGCTCCCCCCTGTTCCAGTGCAGTCTGGATCAGTCCATGGCAGATGATTGGACTGTGTTTCCACCCCTGGGGCAGTCGATTCCAGGTATACTGGACACCCCTCCAGGTGAAGGCAAACTGTGACCTGCACTCTCTTGCCAGAGGAATGGAGAAAAATGCATTGGCGATATCAATGGTGGCATACCATTCAGTTGCCTTTGACTCCAGCTCATACTGACGTTCCAACGTGTCTGGCACAGCAGCTCTCAGAGGTGGTGTGACTTCATTCAGGCCATGATAGTCCACTGTCAACCTTCACTCCCCATTAGACTTTTGAACTGGCCATATGGGGCTGTTAAAGTGTGAGCAGGTCCTGCAGATCATTCCCTGTTTCTCCAGTCAAGGAATGAGCTCATGGATGGGAATTATGGAGTCTCGGTGCGATATTGCTGTTGGTACTCTGTTCTGGTGGAAATTGGCACTTGTTGGTCTTCAGCTTGCAGCAATCCCATGATGAAAGGATCTTCTGAGAGACCAGGCAGGGTAGATAATTGTTTGATCTTCTCTGCAGTCTCGGTAGCTACACAAAAAACCCATCAATACCCCTTTGGATCTTTGAAGTATCTCCTCCTGAGGTAATTGATGCCAAGGATACAAGGGGCCTCTGGGCCAGTCATAGTGGTGTGTTTTTCCCTCTTGTTCCCTGTTAAACTCACTTCAGCCTCTAATAGAAAAGTCCTGTCATCCCCCTGTCACTTCAGAGATCCAGATGGTTCTGCACTTCTCTGCCTCGATGACATCAGTGTGCACTGTGCACCAGTATCCACCAAAGCTATTACCTCTGTGGATCCAGTGTGCCAGGCCATCGAATCCACACAGTACACTAGGCCCAATCATCCCTTTCCTTCTCCTGGCCAAAGGCAGTGACCCCCTATTTCTGTTCCTGGTCAGAGTATTCACTGTCTGACCTTTGCGATGCCAGACCAGAGGTCCCCTCACCAGGATCAAAGGAGTTGATCTCAGTCCTTTGATGTCTGAGAGGTTACTGATTTCTTTCTTGGGTCTCTGCAGCAACTACATGGACAGCTTCTTAACAGTTCTCTTCCCTCTTAATTCATGTACTCAGGCTTCCAGCTTAGCGGTGGGTTCACCATCCGACTTCTTCATGTCTGCCCCCGGTCATGCAGAAAGAACCAGAGTTCACCACATGACCTGAGCTTGGGGCTTCCTTTCCCTCTGACTGGGGCAGGAGGAGACTGATCTCTTGGTCTGCCCCTGAGAGATGAGGTGCTGGCCTGTGGGAATGAAGAAGTGCCCAGAGTTTCTTCTACATTTCAGAGCCAGGAGGACATCACCTCTACAGGTGTGTCATCTACAGATCCATCTTTGAGTAATATATTGTTACTAGGCTGGTGGAATATGATGCAGGGTTGCTTTGAACCACCTTCCTCCACATGGCCATTGTGCAAGGAACATCCTCTGGATCTCTGGGGTAGTCATCCCTTCTTAGGTTACTATAGATGATTTCCAGCACTGCTAATTCTGTCAAGTACTGGATACCTTCATCTGCAGTGGCCCACTTTCTTGGGGAGCTCATTAGATCTTCCTTGAATGGATACCTTTCCCTCACACTTGAGAGGAGCCATCTCCAAAGACTGCAAATTGTTCTCTCCTTTCCAATTCCTCTTTCAATTTTGTGATCTCTAGCAAGGGATCCCAGTTGTTGGGCTTCATGACCTTCCACTTGCTGACTATCAAAAACCCACAGTCGTGTTTGTATATACCCCTATATACCTGCAGATGTATAAGCAATTCTTAAACTGTAGTACACTGATTTGCTGTTTTTCCCCTGAGTTCTCCAAAGCAAAATGCAATCTAGCAGAACACTGTGAGACTAACTCAGAAGTAGGATTCTTGCTGGTTTTCAGATTGCTTATTCTATTTTCATTGTTTGTGTGTAACTGATGTTGACTGTGTGGTAGGGAAACATAAACTGCTCTTTGAATTGCTGGCATGCCTGTGAAATGTTTACACTATAAAGTAAATTTGAGTGATACAAATGGGGTGCTTCAGAGTTAGCATACCTCTTCAGAAGGAAGAAGCAATGTGATCAAGATTTTTTAAAGCTGCAGTTTCACCATCCAGAACTTCCAGTCTTTGCATTGAGAACCCTAGGTGCTTCCATACCTCTCTGTGGCAGGAGAAACATATCATTAGGATACTTTCATGAGGTTGATATAAAAAAGACATGGATACACTGGAGCAAGTGCAGCAAAGGGCCATGAAGATGAAGGGGTTGAAGATACTTGTAATGTGAGGAGAACTGGCACTCTGCATCCTGAGGTAGTCTCAGGGAAATCTTTTAAATGTGTATAAATGCCTGGTGGGAATGAGTGAAGAAGTTGGAGCCAGGCTCTTCTCAGTGGTGCTCAGTGACAGGACAAGAGGCAATAGGCACAAACTCAAGTACAGGAAATTCCCGCACAGAAAAAAAAATATATATTTGCTGTAAGGGTCACCAGATACTGGAAAATGTTGCACAGAGAGGCTGTAGAGTCTCTATCCTTGCAGGTATTCAAAAATCTGGTATATCTGGACACAGTCCAGAGCAACCTACTTTAGTTGCTCTTGCTCTGCATGGAGTGGGCGGACTTGGTGGTATCCAGAACTGTTATTCAACCTCAGATATTGTGTGATTCCAGGTTCTGTAAATTGCATGGGTTTTTTCTGTGTTTATTCAAGGTTATGCCACCATATGTATCAACTGAAACAGTTTTTTCTCTATTAAACATAAATGTTTTGCACGTTATAGGTCAGGGGTGTACTCAGGGTAGGCTCTTGCTATTCTTCCCAAAATGTTTATTGTATAGGTGTATATATCATTTTATGACTCCTTGCACTGTGTTGAAATTTATGACTAACACATACAGTAGCTCCTGTAGAAGGCTTCTAGAAAGGCATCTAAGACAGCCATTCAATATTCCTGCATGTAAGACTTAAATGAAAGCTGTTATTGTTGACTTTTAAATTAAATATAAATATTGTTGAGTTTTGGAATATGCTTCATAGGAAAGAGCTAATTTATTATTGAATGTTCCCTCTTTACTTACTGTTTTGACCATCCTTAAATCAAATCACAAACTCCACAATAAAGTAAATAATGTGTTGCCACCTGCCCCCAGCCATCTCTCCCTGCCAATCCTTGATGCTTTTTTTCTTCTCAAACGGAAATCATTGTGGTAAAAATCTACCTGGCATAATAGACATATTATTATTGGTATTATTGGTAGGTGCCTAAGAGACACAGCTTCTTGTTATAACGTAGTGCTGTATTGCCTGCTACTTCCAGCCTTACCCCACCAGGTACAGCCGTTTTCCAACCTTCTGATCAATGCAATATAAGGGCCATATTATCTCTCTGTTCTGTATTAGGTAAACAGGTCCTTGGTTTTCAGGTGTGAATGCCCTGTTCTTCCTAGGGTGCCCAGAGCAAAGATAGAGGGTAGAACTTGGTATGAGGGGTGGGGTGGTCAGGAACTCATGGAATAGATGCGTTCCAAGGTATCAGGGGAAAGGCACTGAAGACCTTATAAGCAGAAGGTCATTTATTTCATTTTAGAAATTCTGAGAGTATTTCATCTATCATACCACTTCATATATCATTAGTTTTATATAAACTGTGATTAAATAGTTATTTTGCTCTGTTCTTCCTTGGTTTTGGGGGTGGTTTTTTTTTTTTTTTTTTTTTGTAGCTACTGACCATTGCATAGCATGCACTGTACTTTATTGGGTTTCATAGCTGGAAATTCAAATTAAGCATTTTTGTATTTTTCAGACTTTACACTTCAGATGGAAAACTTGTTCAGAATGGGTCAGAGCTGGAGAATGGGCAAATTTATGTTGCAGTGGGTAGGGAAAAGTTTAAGAAGTTGCCATATGGTGATCTGCTGTTTAGCAAATCTACAATGAGAAGACCACAGGGGTAAGTTCTAAAAGTGTGTGATATACTTCTCGTGTGTTTGTGTGTGTCAATTTGTTTACAAAGTGCAGCAAAGTACAAAAGATGGGTGAGTTAGTACGGATGCAAAACCTAATTGGCAACTTCTGGGAAAGTTGAGATAACAAAAACAAAAGCAAAAATGGAAATTCAGAGGACTAATTCATCTCATAAATGTTCCGTGATCACGTGTCACAAAATTGGTGTCAGAGAAAGGATTATTTTGGCTTGGCTTAATTAATTTTTTTCCTGAAAAAAAAGAGCACAGCTGAATGAGGCTAGGTGCCGCTAAAGCAGTTTATATATACTTTTGCATAGTAATGTTTTGTGGAATATGTACTCCCTTGAGATTGCTTTATGTTTGGGTCTATTTTTTGTAGGCTAGAACAGTGACTTAATAGAGTTGTAAACTGCTTGTCTGTTAGGAGAAACTTATGCTTTTCATATCTTTGGAAAACATGAAAATTGGGAACCATTTCTTTGAAATAAATGTAAAGAATGGAACTTTGTCCCATAAACTGGGGTAGTTCAGAGAATTTACCCAAATTCTGCAGATGAACTAGAGTATAATCTATATTTCTTTTTTTTTTAGTGAGCAACTAGTCGACAGTGTGAATAACTCAAAAGTACTTTGGGAAACAGCATTTGCAACTAATGAATTTAGGATAGTGAAAAGGCAGGTTCATCAATTATGTAAACAGTTTTGTTGAAATTGCTGGAACTTTTCATTGCAATAGTTGTAAGGAGCATTCACATAGTAATTCACTGAATACTGCTCTATAAATTCACAGTATATAAAATATGCATTGTGGGGAAATGTAATGCACTTGTGTGAATAAGTTAATGGTTAGGCATAATAGTCTAGTGAACAAGAATGAGTGATTCTTAGTAAAAACATGCAATGAAAAAAACAATTAGTTTTGTCGCATAGCCATCTTGGTGTTACCTGATATGGTTATTGATACATAGTGTCTATGATGGTGATAGTGTACACAGTTCTAAGATATGGCTTATTTCTGCAGTTCTAAAACCTCTGCACTACCTCCAATTGTGGGAACTCGAAAGTCTAAAGGCAGCGTAAGTATCAAGTGTCTAATTTTGCTGAATTCTGGAAAATGGAAAATCCCTGTCCTTTGAGTTTTAATTAAATCTGTAAAGAAGAAGATCCAGAGCCACCTGGTGGTGTGCTTATTAAAGCTTGATGAATCTGTAGCTATATGCAGTGTCAATTACACAAAAGAAATCAGAGAAAATATTATTGCAATAATGGCTTCTTTTTTTTTTTTAATAAAACCTTGAATAGTAAAGATCAGCTACTGCCTTGAGGTCTTTCCTATAAACATGATCAGATATATTTGTGTATTTATTTATTTATTTATTCAAGTTATACACCTAGTGGAAAAACACAGAACCTTTTACAAAACATCTTGCAGAAAATCTTGTTATTGCATTCTGAGTCTGAATAAGACCCTAAGCTGGCCTCCAATCTGGCGTGTTTTTTCTTAGGTAACCATTAAATACAGAGCTTCATCCTCCACTGCTTTGTATCCTGTATAGCTATTTTTGTTTGTGCAAAATGAGTCATAGAATCAATAAGGGTTGGAAAAGACCTCCCAGATTATCAAGTCCAGCCTTTGACCGATCAGCACCACATCAACTAAACCACAGCACTAAGTGCCACGTCCAGTTCTTTCTTGAACTCTTCCAGGAATGGTGACTCCACCACTTCTTGGGCAGCCTGTTCCAGTGCTTAATCATCCTTTCAGGAAAGAAATATTTCCTTATGTCCAAGCTGAACCTCTCCTGGTGCAGCTTGAGGCAATTTCCTTTTGTCCTGTTGCTAGTTCATTGGGAGAAGAGGCTGACCCTCACCTTACTACAGCAAGGGTCCTCTGTGAATTTAAAACAGAGCCAAAAGAGAATATAAGTATCTGTTTCCACCAATTCTGTGCAAGTGCAATTTACTGTACAAGTACAAGACAGCAGGGAGTCAGACTCACAGTCTCTCATTAAAATCGTGGTAGTTGATCATGCCCATTCATTGTTTACAAAACAAACAAACAAAAATCCCTGGAGCCACTAAAAAGAAATAAGCGATAAAATATATCAGTGTCCGTTCCATTCTGTTGGAATTCAGTAGAAGATAAAACTTCAGTAAAAAACATACTTTCAAGTGTTGTTTGGTTTTAAAATGTGAGCTTTGAATTTGTAAAAACAACTTATTAACAGTTCTAGCTTCTTGCCTCTTCTCCTATTGCTTAACAACAGCTACAGAAATTTATTTAATATTCAATTCTATTGCATTGGGATTGACACTTGATAAAAAGTGTCAAAACTTAAGGAAACGGGAATATGTACTACTGCTCTTAAATATCTAATGCAGCACTTGAACTGGTATGAATCATGCAATTGTTTGCTTCAATTTGATGTCTACACTTCTTTGATATTATTGCTTGGGAGTAGCAGTCTCCACTCTGAATCTGAAGAGATTTGAATGTTGCCATGTACTCGTTTCTCTTTATAGAGAAAGGATGAGTGGTAGATTTAGATGGTATTGGTAGATAAATGGTAGATTAGATGGTAAAAGCAAGATCGTATTTAAGGAAGATATTTTTGATAGAACTGATTTCTGCTGATTAGGTGAAAACTAGAAGAATCACATAAACATGTAGGAATGTATGCAGAATTTTTAAAGAAATGTTGGATTTTGTTCAGGACTTATTTTTCTGAAAGATTTTAATTCTATATACTGTCACCTCTTAACTTTAGCACTGAGGTGAAAGGAATTGTCCATGACCATTGCAGAATGAAAGGTCTTTCTGGTGTGCAGTTTCTAAAATGGCATGAATTGCTCATGCAGCTACACTAAGTGAAACAATGAAGTAGAATATACTGATCTTTTGTCATTCAGATAAGTCTGTGATAAGGTGAACTGTTCCAGATATCGACAAGGTTTTCTGCCTTACCTGCTTGAGTGTTTTGTTGTTATATGGAGTGTTTTGACAGAGCTGGATTAGAAAGAAACTTCTGAGGGGCAATGATGAGGGTGTTCAGTTGGTAAAGTCTTTACACAGCCTAGAACAATACAAACAGCACCCTAAAGGGCTGCTATATACAGTTCAGATTTTTCTGATGTTGATTGTGAACAGATCTAGACTGATGAAAAAATGTGCATAAATAATAAAATCCATGACTAGAACACCCAGGATCGTACATGCATCAAAGCTGCAAAAATAAGATTCTGTTTCTAGAAGAGCACAGTGGAAGCAGGGGAACTGGCTGATGTCCTTGAAGATGATTCAGAGGTGAGGTGTGCACAAACCCCTTTCTTAGTGTCTACTTGGCAGTCAGTGTTATTGCCACAAAAAGACTGTGATTCTCCTCCAGCTTCTCTTGACACTTAAAATAATGCCCATGTCTCATTTAAACAGACAATGACTTATTAACAACTTGGATACGTTATATCTTGTGACTTTCCACACATGTGGGGGACATATAGCTGTATATAGTATGCATGCATGCATATATTCATTCTTTTTATTAAATGAAGCATTATTTTCTTCTAATAAATATTTTCTCCTGGGAGTTGTTAAGAAGAATTTAATCAGTCCAATCATACAGTAAGTTGATAAGATACTTATGCTTTTCTGAATAATTTAAGATATAACTTGAATGTACTGCTTGTTTAATTAATATGCTTCTTTAATACCTCATGTCAGTCCTTATTTAAATTAAAAAAATAAACTTTGTAATTTGCATCAGTGATAGTTATGTACAGTTCTTTTCAGGGAAATGATCTGCAATCTAAATCTACTGCTGGATCCACTGACCGGGGAGAAAACTGTTCCTCACCTCATCTTCCCAAAGGGAAAGACAAAAAAAGCCAGAATCCAGAGAATTCTGTGTCCAGACGACACTTTCCTAACAACTCTACAGGAGTAAAACAGACAGAAACAGCCTCCACAGGAGTCCTTCAATATAATGGTCAGTATTGAGATATCTTCAGTTAAAACAGTGAAATAGTAGAATAATATGTTACATAGCTCTTGAATTGTCTATTTACTCTGGTCAACTGAAATTGCAAAAGTTCTTTCTGCTTAGGAAATGCACCTGTGATTAACTGCTACCTTTCTGGCTTCATTTCCATACCATAGGAGGCTGTGTGTGATTTTTAGTATACCTTGCAAGTTAAGCTGATATGGTTCTATCTTTATGCTTTTGGCAAAACAAAATAAAACCCATATTTTGGTTGTTTTCCCGCTGTTCTGCCCTGCAAGAAGGAGAAGAAAAGGAGCTGGTTTTCTCCAAGGACACCTTGCTGTCCCTGATGATCTAAGTCAGACCTCTCACCTTAAGAATAGCCAAGGCACATAACTTTTTCTGATAGGTATAGTGCCATTATGATGATCTTCTATATGCTATTTTTTCAGGCCTAAGGGTATTTTTAAGTAAAGTTTCTACAGATGTTTTCTGGAAGCGAACAGCCCCCTCTTGCTGAGGTGAGAGAAATTTGTTCTTTGCCTTTGTCAGACTTGCATTAAGTTATCAGATGTTTCCCATTGCCTTCTTTCATTTCCCAGTGGAGGGAAAAGTCCTAGTAGGAGCAATCGTTTTTCTGTCCTTTCAGCAGGCAGTGACTAAGAGTCAAATCTTACTTACTTTGGTAGATAGCAGACAAATAGAGGGAAATATTTACCTCTTTCTATTCGATGCTACTGCTGCTCCACCTGCTGACAAAAATGGTGACTTGGAAAGTCACCAAGTTTGTTGAAAAAGAGACTGCTTCCTCCTCACTTCAGCTTTTCCATGCTTTATGAGTCTTGTATAACTAGGAGAAGCTCTTCAAGGCAGCAGATTTTCTAGTTTGAGCTCGAGTGTGTGTTGGGAGAAGCTTTTTGTTTTTCTGTGATCCTCTATTTTTCTTCCATATATAAAGACCAGCAAGTAAAAGTAGGAATAGGCAGCAGTAGCCTGTAGGGTGTCAGTCTTTTCTGCCAGGTAACAAGTAACAGGACAAGAGGAAATAGCCTCAAGTTGGGTCAGGGGAAGTTTAGATTGGATATGAGGAAAAATTTCTTCACAGAAGGGTTTGTAAAGCATTGGAACAGGCTGCCCAGGGAGGTGGTTGAATCACTATCCCTGGAAGTGTTCAAAAAAGTGCAGATATGGCACTTGAGGATGTGGTTTAATAGCGAACATGGTGGTGGTGCTAGGTTGACAGTGGACTTGATGATCTTAAAGGATTCTATGATCCTAACTTTTGAGAAATTAAAGGAAAAGGTCTTTTCACTTTTGACCCTGTGTGGGAGCTCCACTGTAGTTAGAATTTAGGTAGCTTGTAGTGAAGTAGTTAAAAGAAAATGCACTACACTGACCACAAATGGTCATCTCCCACAAAGTTGTTGTCTTCTGTGCATTCTCTTCTGGTCACATCTCAATATGGAGTGACCTGAAGCACAGGCTAGGCAGGCTGTAAGAGCTGTGAGCTGCCTCTTGCCTAGCCAACCCTCAATGTCAAAGATTGTTTTATATTTCTGTCCTTTATTATTTGAAGGAACTGACCTGCTGTGTGATTCGTGACAATGTTAAACTTACTGCCAAAGACCTACTGTTTTGTTATTTGATAGCCTGTTTTGCTATCAAGTTTGGTTCTTTAATTCTCATTAGCTCAATATTTTTCGCCCATGGGACTATTTGTTGAGTTACATATAGCGCAGGAGCTTGATTAAGTATTTTCTAAATTATAAATTATCTATCTGCAGGTGGGAAGTGGAAGTTCTTAGCTGGTTGATGTACATTTTAGGATGGAAGTAGGCAGTAGAGTAGTCCCCTTCAAAAGCTTTCCCTAGAGAACCTCATCACTCAAATCAGCTTTATGAGCCCACTGACTACAACTCCATCAGTGGGGGATCTGAGAAACAAGTAGATGTGTTGAAGTAAGCAAAGCCTGAAACATTCTGCCCTCATCAGCACTGGCATAGATTTTATGGTGCATCATAGAAGAGTCAGCTCAGCAGCCTTTAGCTCAGCAGCTTTAGATATGTTATCAGTACTATCACTTGTTGGTTTCTTTATGAGGAACTTTGTCTGCCACATCCTCACCAGTGCCAGTTTTTTTCAGGAAGCATTGTTCTTCACATCCTCAGAATGTTTAGCTTTGGGATTTGAGACCAATCAGGCTTGTCTCAGCAGTCTCCAACACCAAAAGCAATGTGACTCCCCTTCTAGTGTTTTACCCCCACTTTGGCAGAGCATCCTGCTACCTCTTGTACGCAGCTTTCTTTTCCAGTTATTTGATGATGCTTTTCCTTGAGTCCATGTGGCCCTTTATTAATTTTATCTGACTTCATCTGTTTGCTTTCCATCCCATCTGTTGGTCTTTCCTCAAGTAATCCTTTCTGCCTGTTTCTGATTCACCAGGTTCTGGAGGTCTGGGTTCAACCTCTGTTTCTTAGTCTTCCTGGTTGACTTTGGGCAATTCCTTGGGCCTAGATACCTTCTGTAGTCAGTGAAACATCTACATAAAGAGAATTGCCTGTAACAGGAGAGAGTTCAGCCCTCCTAAGCTGTTCCCACCTCTCTGAAACTTCCTCCATGTGCCTAAAGGGAGGAGAGCAGCTGTGGAAATACTTGGTTTGCCAAGGCTCTTGTGGAGTCACTGCGTAGGGTCAGGGATGGTGAGTGGGAAGACGAAAGCTCTCCTAGTTTAATTCTCTACCTGGTTATCACAAGCCTTTTACTTTAATCAACTTGGGAGCAGGGTGGAGGTAGCATTTTTGTTTGTCCGTTTTTCTCTTCCTTTTGTAGTCAACCATGTGTAGCTTTGCAACAGGTATTAAGACATGCTGTGGTTTTGAAGAAAAAATTGTCAAGAGACTGCATCAGCTGTATAACAGGCATCTCTATAAAGTAACTTCATAGCTTGAAATGTTTTCTTTAGACTTTCTTTAGATGGTAAATTGAAGAGATAGCCAATCACCAACCATATGAAGTTCAACTAGGGGAAGTGTCAGATTCTGCACCTGAGACAGGATGACTTTGATTATGTGTATAGACTAGGAAACAAGAGCCTGGAGAGCAGCCCTGCAGAAAGGGCCCTGGGGGTCCTGGTCTGTGGCAAGTTGAATATGAGTCAGCAGTGCCCTGGCAGCCAGGAGGGCCAACTCTGTCCTGGGGGGCATCAGGCAAAGCATCACCAGCCAGTTTAGGGAGGGGATTGTCCCGCTCTGCTCTGCAGTGGTGCAGCCTCACCTTGAATATTGTGTGCAGTTTTGAGCACCACAATATAAGGAAGACATGAAGCTATTAGAGAGTGTCCGAAGTAGGGCAATGAAGATGGTGAAGGGCCTTGAGGGGAAGCCGTGTGAGGAGCAGCTGAGGTCACTTGGTCTGTTCAGTCTGAAGAAGAGGAGTCTAAGGGAAGACCTCATTGCAGTCTACAACTTCCTCATGAGGGAAAGGGGAGGGGCAGGTACCGATTTCTTCGTTCTCATGACCAGTGTCAGGACCCAAGGAAACGGTATGAATCTGAGTCAGGAAATGTTTAGGTTATAAATGTTATATCAGGAGAAGGTTTTTCATCCAGAGGGTGGTTGAGCACTGGAAGAGGCTCCCCAGGAAAGTGGTCACAGCACCAAGCCTGAGTTTAAGAAGTGTTCGGACAATGCTCTCAGGCGTGTGGTGTGATTCTTGGGGTTCCTGCTCAGGGTCAGGAGTTGGATTCGATGACCCTGATGGGTCCCTTCCAGCTCAGCATATTTGGTAATTCTATTACTTTATTCAAGTTGTAATTCATAAGCGTGTAGCTTTCTTTTGGAGTGCTTTTATCACTCTAAGTCATTATGTGAGTGTGAAATACAATTTTTTTTCTGACTAATACAAAGTCATTCTTTTGAATGTATCCATTAAATATATATCTTGATGCTCTTAAAAAAAGTTTCTGATGTATTTTTGATGGTTGATTTAAGGGCTATGACTTTTTAAAACAAAAGTATTTTACTGCACAATTGTAGTGTACTTTGTATTAAAATGATGGAAGTGTGATGAGAACTCAACAGAGCAAAGAATGTTGGTTTTTTTACATTTTAAGCATTTTAAGTATTCCTTACGAGTTAATATGAATGATGTGCTGCAACTGTGGAACAAGAACAAGTTAAAAGGAAAGAAAGCCAACAGGCAAACTTGTTAAAAACTATAGAACTGTTGTTTAATTCTTAACAAAAAATGCTTAATTGAAGTTAATGCTTAAAGATACTGAGCCTCTGTGTTTCAGAATACAAATAAGTGGCCATGGCTTATGCTGGCAGCCAGACATGCTGTGTGCATGTTTGTATTTATCCTGTGCTTATATGGTTTATTTACATGTATGCTGAGAACCCATCATGCTCCCCTTTGGGCATGAAAGGAGCTTATACCACCAGGACGATATGTTAGGATCCAAAGGGCAGATGAAGGGTACTTCTCTGAGTGTACTGATTCACCTGTTGTTTTCAGTACTTCTTCATATACTGAAGACCTGCGTTAACATCCAGTCCAGCTTGAAAGGTCAGAATATAGGCTATACAAGCTCTTCCCCTTCTTGTGCTTTTAGTGCCCTGAAATGTCTCCCTGTCAACAGGGTATCTCCCTTGCTCTGTCCGGGTTTGTCACCTTGTCTTTTGGTGAGATGCAGTGGTTGTGTGACTAGTGGGACTTAAGTGGATGATGAAAATAGCTTAAAAGCTGGTAATGGGGTGTTTTATTTTGAATTAAGACCCTTTTGGTTCACCTGGAGGTGCAGCTTCCCACTTAGGCAGGCAACTAGTACCATACAGTTTTAGGTATAGTATTTTAGCTAGATTCAGTTAGCAGAAAGAAGCATTCAGCTTTCTTCCTAGTTTGCTTGTGCCTTTTGAAGACTGCTTCAGATACACGTTTTAGAGGAACAGAAATTGAGAGGGAACTGTGCAAGTGGTACTTTTGTCCTCTTACTTCCTTTGCCCTGA